TACTGGCAACGCCACATGTTCTGCATCATAGCTATGTGCAAAGAGGGAGCTCAAAGGTATTTACCTATATTTCCCTAATAAAAATGAACTGAACTCAACTATTCTGGCGATTTGCAGATGCCCACACCCTCCCATAATTATCTTCTGTTATCCGGTTACATTTCCCAGCCTTGCTTAAAAAAGGTCCGTTGATGTTTAAACATATCCTCCAAATACTATCTTTAGCTGATATTATAATGCTGCGACACTTTAAAACGCTCAAGAAATTTAATGATCGCATTCTTGATAAGGTTGCCCATCCACTCCACTCTAAAGTAATGGCTGCGAAGTCTTCCACTACTGTGTGCCGAAACTTCCGATATACGTCCTCCCGCACATCGACATATCAGCCCTCTATACGCCAATTTCTAGCATATTACCTCACGTGTGAAGAAACGGAAATTCAGGAGTTCAAATCAAATCTGTCTCCATAACAGATGGGAATTTCATGTAAACCTTTAAACTTCGAGTAATTTATGGCCTTTTCCCTTGGTCTCAGTAAAAGAAGCTATTTTTGCTGAAGAGTTTGGTCATCTACTTTCAAAATAAAGCGGACTTTTTTTCTCTCTCTCGAGTGTATAGTCGCGTGTCTGACCAATGCTGAGGTGTTCATATTTGCAGCTTTTATGATCCTTGTGCATCGTCCACGATGCCAGTCTATCGTGCCTGCGGCCTGCATAAAGCTTCGCCCTTTTTCCTGATTCCGGCGAACATCGCATTTTCGTCCTGACTACTTCGTTCTCACCCCCTTATCTCTCTGCTGCTAACTTATCTGTTCTATTTTGTTGTAGTAAACTTAGCCGAGCATTTCGCCCTAGAGAGAGACCCTTCAGTACCCCTTCGTTACCCCGTCGAGGGAATCACCGTCACCCTTTTGTCCATTGAAATGTTTACCCTTTTCAATGGCTGATGTTTTGGGGTCACTAGCTACAGGACGAAGAACAGAAGTCTTTTTGAGTGTCTCGTAGACAGGTCATTCTCGCATAGTAGCCAAGGCGCGAACAAAACTGAAAGCCAGCGGGAACACTGTGAGT